TTATTAACCGTTGATATGACGATTAGAGTGGAGTAAGAGCTACAAAATGAATATTACCAAGCAAATACCATGTTGAATTTAAATATAAATATTGTTCAATCAAATAAAAGCCTTTACTTTTTCAATTATTGCTGGAAAACGAATGGCAAACACCGTGACAACCAACCCCAAACACTGTGACAACCAACCCCAAACACTGTGACAACCAACCCCAAACACTGTGACAACCAACCCCAAACTGTGTGACAACCAACCCCAAACACCGTGACAACCAACCCCAAACACTGTGACAACCAACCCCAAACACTGTGACAACCAACCCCAAACACTGTGACAACCAACCCCAAACTGTGTGACAACCAACCCCAAACACTGTGACAACCAACCCCAAACACTGTGACAACCAACCCCAAACACCGTGACAACCAACCCCAAACACTGTGACAACCAACCCCAAACTGTGTGACAACCAACCCCAAACACCGTGACAACCAACCCCAAACACCGTGACAACCAACCCCAAACACCGTGACATCCAAACCCCAAACACCGTGACAACCAACCCCAAACACTGTGACAACCAACCCCAAACTGTGTGACAACCAACCCCAAACACCGTGACAACCAACCCCAAACACTGTGACAACCAACCCCAAACTGTGTGACAACCAACCCCAAACACCGTCACAACCAACCCCAAACACCGTGACAACCAACCCCAAACACCGTGACATCCAAACCCCAAACACCGTGACAACCAACCCCAAACACTGTGACAACCAACCCCAAACTGTGTGACAACCAACCCCAAACTGTGTGACAACCAACCCCAAACACCGTGACAACCAACCCCAAACACCGTGACATCCAAACCCCAAACACTGTGACAACCAACCCCAAACTGTGTGACAACCAACCCCAAACACTGTGACAACCAACCCCAAACTGTGTGACAACCAACCCCAAACACCGTGACAACCAACCCCAAACACTGTGACAACCAACCCCAAACACTGTGACAACCAACCCCAAACACCGTGACAACCAACCCCAAACACCGTGACAACCAACCCCAAACACTGTGACAACCAACCCCAAACACCGTGACAACCAACCCCAAACACTGTGACAACCAACCCCAAACTGTGTGACAACCAACCCCAAACTGTGTGACAACCAACCCCAAACACTGTGACAACCAACCCTGCTATGGGGCAGAGTGTGTTTGATGGCTTATAACTCCATGTTGGATTACGACATGAGGATAAAAAGCTAATTTCAACCCAAGACCCGGGTGTTTCTCCTGATGTTGAAAGGAGTTTTGTAAGATATACTGGTGCTTACACATTAGTAAACAGTGTTTGTTAACCAACCCCGGTCCCTCAACTTGTTGAACAGATTGAGTCTAATGCTGTACTGTCTAACTTACTTGTTAAACAGGTTGAGTCTGATGCGGTGCTGTCTAACTTGTTGAACAGATTGAGTCTGATGCGGTACTGTCCAACTTGTTAAACAGATTGAGTCTGATGCGGTGCTGTCTAACCTACTTGTTGAACAGATTGAGGCTGATGCGGTACTGTCCAACTTGTTGAACAGATTGAGTCTGATGCGGTGCTGTCTAACTTGTTGAACAGATTGAGTCTGATGCGGTACTGTCCAACTTGTTAAACAGATTGAGTCTGATGCAGTGCTGTCTAACCTACTTGTTGAACAGATTGAGGCTGATGCGGTACTGTCCAACTTGTTGAACAGATTGAGTCTGATGCAGTACTGTCTAACTTACTTGTTGAACAGGTTGAGTCCGATGCGGTACTGTCCAACTTGTTTTTTTTTGTTTTTGTTTTTTTATTTCACCTTTATTTAACCAGGTAAGCCAGTTGAGAACAGGTTCTCATTTACAACTGCGACCTGGCCAAGATAAAGCAAAGCAGTGCAATAAAAACAACACAGAGTTACATATGGGGTAAAAAACATAAAGTCAAAAATACAACAGAAAATATATATACAGTGTGTGCAAATGTAGCAAGTTATGGAGGTAAGGCAATAAATAGGCTATAGTGCAAAATAATTACAATAGTATTAACACTGGAATGCTAGATGTGCAAGAGATTATGTGCAAATAGAGATACTGGGGTGCAAAAGAGCAAAATAAATAACAATATAGGGATGAGGTAGTTGGGTGGGCTAATTTCAGATGGGCTGTGTACAGGTGCAGTGATCGGTAAGGTGCTCTGACAACTAATGCTTAAAGTTATTGAGGGAGATAAGAGTCTCCAGCTTCAGAGATTTTTGCAATTCGTTCCAGTCATTGGCAGCAGAGAACTGGAAGGAATGGCGGCCAAAGGAGGTGTTGGCTTTGGGAATGACCAGTGAGATATACCTGCTGGAGCGCAGACTACGGGTGGGTGCTGCTATGGTGACCAATGAGCTAAGATAAGGCGGGGATTTGCCTAGCAGTGATTTATAGATGGCCTGGAGCCAGTGGGTTTGACGACGAACATGTAGTGAGGACCAGCCAACAAGAGAGTACAGGTCACAGTGGTGGGTAGTGTATGGGGCTTTGGTGACAAAACGGATGGCACTGTGATAGACTACATCCAATTTGCTGAGTAGAGTGTTGGAGGCTATTTTGTAAATGACATTGCCGAAGTCAAGGATCGGTAGGATAGTCAGCTTTACGAGGGCATGTTTGGCAGCATGAGTGAAGGAGGCTTTGTTGCGAAATAGGAAGCCGATTCTAGATTTAACTTTGGATTGGAGATTCTTTATGTGAGTCTGGAAGTTGAGTTTACAGTCTAACCAGACACCTAGGTATTTGTAGGTGTCCACATACTCTAGGTCAGACCCGTCGAGAGTGGTGATTCTAGTCGGGTGGGCGGGTGCCAGCAGCGTTCGATTGAAAAGCATGCATTTAGTTTTACTAGTGTTTAAGAGCAGTTGGAGGCTACTGAAGGATTGTTGTATGGCATTGAAGCTCGTTTGGAGGTTTGTTAACACAGTGTCCAATGAAGGGCCAGATGTATACAAAATGGTGTCGTCTGCGTAGAGGTGGATCTGAGAGTCACCAGCAGCAAGAGCGACATCATTGATATACACGGAGAAAAGTGTCGGCCCAAGAATTGAACCCTGTGGCACCCCCATAGAGACTGCCATGGGTCCAGACAACAGGCCCTCCGATTTGACACACTGAACTCTATCTGAGAAGTAGTTGGTGAACCAGGCGAGGCAGTCATTTGAGAAACCAAGGATATTTAGTCTGCCAATAAGAATGCGGTGGTTGACAGAGTCGAAAGCCTTGGCCAGGTCGATGAAGACGGCTGCACAGTACTGTCTATTATCGATCGCGGTTATAATATCGTTTAGGACCTTGAGCGTGGCTGAAGTGCACCCATGACCAGCTCGGAAACCGGATTGCATAGCGGAGAAGGTACGGTGGTATTCGAAATGGTCGGTGATCTGTTTGTTAACTTGGCTTTCAAATACTTTGGAAAGGCAGGGCAGGATGGATATAGGTCTGTAGCAGTTTGGATCTAGAGTGTCACCCCCTTTGAAGAGGGGGATGACCGCGGCAGCTTTCCAATCTCTGGGGATCTCAGACGTTATGAAAGAGAGGTTGAACAGACTAGTAATAGGGGTTGCGACAATTTCGGCGGCTAGTTTTAGAAAGAAAGGGTCCAGATTGTCTAGCCCAGCTGATTTGTAGGGGTCCAGATTTTGCAGCGCTTTCAAAACATCAGCTGTCTGAATTTGTGTGAAGGAGAAGCGGGGGGGGCATGGGCAAGTTGCAGCAGAGGGTGCAGAGTTGGTGGCCGGGGTAGTGGTAGCCAGATGGAAAGCATGGCCAGCTGTAGCAAAATGCTTGTTGAAATTCTCGATTATTGTAGATTTATCGGTGGTGATAGTGTTTCCTAGCCTCAGTGCAGTGGGCAGCTGGGAGGAAGTGCTCTTATTCTCCATGGACTTTACAGTGTCCCAAAACGTTTTGGAGTTAGTGCTACAGGATGCAAATTTCTGTTTGAAAAAGGTAGCCTTTGCTTTCCTGACTGCTTGTGTAAATTGGTTCCTAACTTCCCTGAAAAGTTGCATATCGCGGGGGCTATTTGATGCTAATGCTGTACGCCACAGGATGTTTTTGTGCTGGTCAAGGGCAGTCAAGTCTGAGGAGAACCAGGGGCTATATCGGTTCTTAGCTCTGTATTTTTTGAATGGGGCATGTTTATTTAAGATTGAGAGGAAATTACTTTTAAGGAACAACCAGGCATCCTCTACTGACGGAATGAGATCTATATCCATCCAGGATACCTGGGCCAGGTCAATTAGGAAGGCCTGCTCGCTAAAGTGTTTTAGGGAGCGTTTGACAGTGATGAGGGGTGGTCGTTTGACCGCGGACCCGTTACGGACGCAGGCAATAAGGCAGTGATCGCTGAGATCCTGGTTGAAGACAGCTGAGGTGTATTTAGAGGGTATGTTAGTCAGGATGATATCTATGAGGGTACCCATGTTTACGGATTTAGGGTTGTACCTGGTAGGTTCGTTGATAATTTGCGTGAGGTTGAGGGCATCTAGCTTGGATTGTAGGATGGCTGGGGTATTAAGCATATCCCAATTTAGGTCACCAAGCAGTACAAACTCTGAGGATAAATGGGGGGCAATCAATTCACATATGGTGTCCAGGGCACAGCTGGGGGCTGAGGGGGGTCTGTAGCAAGCGGCAACAGTGAGAGACTTATTTCTGGAAAGGTGGATTTTTAGAAGTAGAAGCTCAAACTGTTTGGGCACAGACCTGGATAGTATGATAGAGCTCTGCAGATTGAGTCTGATGCGGTACTGTCTAACTTGTTGAACAGATTGAGTCTGATGCAGTACTGTCTAACTTACTTGTTAAACAGGTTGAGTCCGATGCGGTACTGTCTAACTTACTTGTTGAACAGGTTGAGTCCGATGCGGTACTGTCTAACTTACTTGTTAAACAGGTTGAGTCCGATGCGGTACTGTCTAACTTACTTGTTGAACAGGTTGAGTCCGATGCGGTACTGTCGTCTCTGGACCACGTCGTTGTTAAAGGCGGGGCTATCCCAGCTGTGCCTGCTCTCTCTCTGATACGTCTGTTTCCCGAGCGGTGGGAGGGGCTCCCGGAGGCTGTCGCGTGACGAGGACCCGGAGGAGCAGTTGATGGTATCGTTAGAGTTGGTGGTGGAGTTGAGAGAGTCGTTGTCTCCGTCAGAACAGCAGACCTGCTCCAGGCCACCAGGGGGCAGTGTGGCGGATGAGGAGGAAGACAGGGGGGTGAGGGGTTGTCCCTGCGGCGACTGGGAGGACGAAGAGGGAGTGTCAGGGTACGGGTGGTGGGGGTGCTGGGGGTGGTGGGGGTGCTGGGGGTGGTGGTGTAGAGGGTAATGGGGGATCTGATGGTGGTGGTGTAAGATGGTGTGGTGTGGCAGGTGGGAGGGGAGGGCCGAGGGGTGGGGGCGGTGAGGGAGCACAGTACGAGTCTGGCCTTGGGCCTGGGGGTGTGTAGGGACGGAGCGCCCGTTGGGGTTGGGGTGGGGGTGGGGATTTGGGTGGGGGTTGTGTTTAATGGTCGTGTGAGGCGACCCCCCTTCCCCTCCTCCTCCCCCTCCCCCACCTCCCCCTGGCTCTGTTTCGTAGACCAGTCTACCTATCGAACCTCTATCCGAGCGGTCACTCATATCAACAGAGCTGTCGCTAGGTGGATCGATGGTCAGCAGGGGCAGGTGAGATCCTCTCAGGCTGTGGTCTCTACACTCTGTACAGGGGGTGCTACGTCGGCTGTTACCGCTGCCCCCTCCCTCTGTGTCCCGGCTGTCCTCGCGGCCCCCCACCCCACCGCCACCCACTCCAGGGCTCCAGTACTCTGTGTCGGTGCTGCTGGGGACGCGGTCCAGGAACAGGGGTGAGGAGGGGAGCCCGTCATCAATGTAGAGGGTCACGTCGCTGTAGGAGGTGGCTGTGCTGTCCTCGTGCATGCTCTGTCTCTCTCCTCCTCCTCCTCCTCCTCCTCCTTCCTCCGCCCCTCTGTCTATCTCCCTCCCTCGGTCTCCAAACACACTCTCCAAAGTCGTCTGCCACCACCCCTGTCTCGCCTCCGTCACCTTCCTCCTCCTCCTGAGAGTCTTCTACAGCAGACTGACAGGTCAGGACGTCATCGATGGAGTCAGCCAGGGACTTCACCTACAGGGTGGATAAAGACAGATGTCGGATGTAGTGATCATGATATAATATCCGTATCTAGAAAAACCTAAGTTCCCCAAAGACTGGACCTGAAACGGTGTACAAACGATCATACAAGAGGTTTTGTAATGATTCCTACGTCGAAGATGATGAAAAATATTTGTTGGTCTGATGTGTGTATTGAGGAACAACCTGACGACGCACTTGAAGCACTTATGAAACCGCTTCTTCCGGTTACTGACAGGCATGCGCCCCATCAATAAACTGACTGTTAGAGCTGCCAAATCCCCATGGATAGATGATGAATTTGAAAAACGGTATGGCTGAGAGGGACGAGGCAAAGGCAGTAGCAAATACGTCTGACGACGCAGCAGACTGGCAACCGTACAGTCAATTGATAAATCACGTAACTAAACAAAAAGAAGAAGAATCTATACTATGGAACAAAGATAAACTATATAAATAATGATAGTAAAAAGTAAACTAAAGTAAACAAAAAGAAGCAGAAACTAGTTTAGTTGTAGATGTAGTCACTGTCTCACAGTAGTTGGATAGATTGAGAATGTGAAAGCGAATCACATTAATTATTTACAACTGGAAAAGGTACATTCTCTTAAGAGATTGTGTATGCTTGCTCTGGCTGTCTGGAAGTATATTTCATGGCAGTGGAAGAAGTTGTAGTGATTCACTCTGTAACTGTCCCTCGTAAGGCTGGTTTCCAGAACACAATACTCCCGGGCTCAACGGAAAATCTCCAGTACTAATATGTGTCTGGGAAACCAGCCCCTTAGTTTCCTCCCTTTTACTGCAAAATAATTAAATCTGACCTAAAAGATCGCTTATCATTAAAATGCTTGACGTCTTACCAAGATAAATGATCTTAGTGCAGCCCCCCGTTCCTCTCACCTGTTTGGAGAATGTCTCATCCAGGTGTGTGTACTCCTCTCTGTCCCCCTGGCACTGTGAAGGAGACCCAGCCTCCATCTCTTCATCACCAGGCTGGCCCTGGCCCTGTCGTTGGTCAAACGAGTACTGCAGTCTCATGTTAGACAGGATGATACGGCGAGTCATCCGGCTCTCAGAGGCAGAGCTTCTCAGACGCTCAAAGTTCTTGTTCATGCGGTACTGACGGAACGCCGTCTGGATGGTGCGCGCCGCCCGCCGACTCAGGAAGTAACCGCCATACTTCCTCTCCAGCATCTCCACCTGACAGGAAACAGGAAGTGGAGATGACCAATGAGAAAGTGGGAGAAAGTGGAGAGGACCAATGAGGGAGAAGGAGGAAGTGGAAAATATCAATCAGAGAGTGGGAGGAAGTGGAAAGGACCAATGACAGAGTGAGAGGAAGTGGAAAGGACTAATTAGAGAGAAGGGGGAAGTTGTGAGGACCAAATACAGAGTGGGAGGAAGTAGAAATGACCAATCAGAGTAGAGGGAAGTGGAGAGGACCAATGACAGAGTGGGAGGAAGTGGAAAGGACCAATCAGAGAGTAGGGGGAAGTGGAGAGGACCAATGACAGAGGGGGAGGAAGTGGAGGGGACCAATGAGAGAGCTGGAGATTAGGGGAGCTTTGTGAGGGAATATTGCCATAGCAACCCTATAGAAATTGGTCATTTCTATAGCCTCTGTTTGAAAATATGTTATTTTGTTTCTGTTGGAAAGGACCTGAACCAGGGTTATGTTCACTAGTTTAACGTCATTACGTCACACAGAATCAGAACACATAACAACATAGAATACAACATCAGAAATCCAAATCAGCCAAACTATTCATACATCACTACTGTATGCAATCATTATATCGTAGTAACAAGCATAGACTATAATCTGCTGCATTACAAATGGAGAAAGCCTTGTATACATTCTTCTCCCGTGGGTCCGTGGAGAACTCATAGTTGTCAGACAGGGCTTTGTACCCCTATAATAATATAATAACAATAATAATATAATATAAAATAATAATAATAGTATTAATAATAATATGCTAACCTTGTCCTTTAGATCTGTGGAGAGCTCATAGCTGTCGGACAAGGCTTTGCGCCTCTATAATAATAATGTAATAATAATATGATAATATGCTAACCTTCTTGTCCTGTAGATCTGTGGAGAGCTCATAGCTGTCGGACAGGGCTTTGCAGCGCTTGTTGTCCTCCACCTCCTGCTTCCGCAGCGCCAGGCTGGCAGGCTGGTGCCGGGTCCTCTGGGCCCAGGCCAGTGAGGCAGGACTGGGGGGGGCCACCGGGGGGCCCTGGGGGTGATGGTGGGATCGGGGGCCCGGTGGGCCAGGGCCACTGCTGTAGCGGTGATCAGAGGAGCTGCCCAGGTAGGGCCCCTGGCTACAGGTGATGTCGGAGAAACTGCCCGTGTCGCCACATGGAGTCTCTTCCACACTGGGGGGAGGGAGAGAGAGAGAGAGAGAGAGAGAGAGAGAGAGAGAGAGAGAGAGAGAGAGGGACAGAGAGAGGGACAGTGGATTTAACAATTGTGAACAGTGAAAGAGAGGGTAGGGAGGATATCAGAGGATAACCTTGAATCCTATCATTATAGTGCTTGACCTGGGGTATCATTATAGACCTGGGGTATCATTATAGACCTGGGATATCATTATAGACCTGGGATATCATTATAGACCTGGGGTATCATTATAGACCTGGGGTATCATTATAGAGCTGGGGTATCATTATAGAACTGGGGTATCATTATAGACCTGGGATATCATTATAGACCTGGGGTATCATTATAGACCTGGGGTATCATTATAGACCTGGGGTATCATTATAGACCTGGGATATCATTATAGACCTGGGGTATCATTATAGACCTGGGATATCATTATAGACCTGGGATATCATTATAGACCTGGGGTATCATTATAGACCTGGGGGTTTTCAGACATCAGATTGTAAGATAAACACACCAAATAAACACTTCTGATAAATTCACCGTCCTGGACTCATAGCAGAGCAGCAACACAAACAACCACCATTTAGACGGTACCAGGGGAAACCTGTACAGTGAGGGAAAAAAAGTATTTGATCCCCTGCTGATTCTGTACGTTTGCCCACTGACAAAGACATGATCAGTCTATAATTTTAATGGTAGGTTTATTTGAACAGTGAGAGACAGAATAACAACAACAAAATCCTGAAAAATGCATGTCAAAAATGTTATAAATTGATTTGCATTTTAATGAGGGAAATAAGTATTTGACCCATCTGCAAAACATGACTTAGTACTTGGTGGCAAAACCCTTGTTGGCAATCACAGAGGTCAGACGTTTCTTGTAGTTGGCCACCAGGTTTGCACAAATCTCAGGAGGGATTTTGTCCCACTCCTCTTTGCAGATCTTCTCCAAGTCATTAAGGTTTCGAGGCTGACGTTTGGCAAATCGAACCTTCAGCTCCCTCCACAGATTTTCTTTGGGATTAAGGTCAGGAGACTGGCTAGGCCACTCCAGGACCTTAATGTGCTTCTTCTTGAGCCACTCCTTTGTTGCCTTGGCTGTGTGTTTTGGTTCATTGTCATAATGGAATCGACCCATTTTCAATGCCCTGGCTGAGGGAAGGAGGTTCTCACCCAAGATTTGACGGTACATGGCCCCATCCATCGTCCCTTTGATGCGGTGAAGTTGTCCTGTCCCCTTAGCAGAAAAACACCCCCAAAGCATAATGTTTCCACCTCCATGTTTGACGGTGGGGATGGTGTTCTTGGGGTCATAGGCAGCATTCCTCCTCCTCCAAACACGACGAGTTGAATTGATGCCAAAGAGCTCGATTTTGGTCTCATCTGACCACAACACTTTCATCCAGTTCTCCTCTGAATCATTCAGATGTTCATTGGCAAACTTCAGACGGCCCTGTATATGTGCTTTCTTGAGCAGGGGGACCTTGCGGGCGCTGCAGGATTTCAGTCCTTCACGGCGTAGTTTGTTAGCAATTGTTTTATTGGTCCCAGCTGCCTTGAGATCATTGACAAGATCCTCCCGTGTAGTTCTTGGCTGATTCCTCACCGTTCTCATGATCATTGCAACTCCACGAGGTGAGATCTTGCATGGAGCCCCAGGCCGAGGGAGATTGACAGTTATTTTGTGTTTATTCCATTTGCGAATAATCGCACCAACTGTTGTCACCTTCTCACCAAGCTGCTTGGCGATGGTCTTGTAGCCCATTCCAGCCTTGTGTAGGTCTACAATCTTGTCCCTGACATTCTTGGAGAGCTCTTTGGTCTTGGCCATGGTGGAGAGTTTGGAATCTGACTGATTGATTGCTTCTGTGGACAGGTGTCTTTTATACAGGTAACAAGCTGAGATTAGGAGCACTCCCTTTATGAGTGTGCTCCTAATCTCAGCTCGTTACCTGTATAAAAGACACCTGTGAGCCAGACATCTTTCTGATTGAGAGGGGGTCAAATACTTATTTCCCTCATTAAAATGCAAATCAATTTATAACATTTTTGACATGCGTTTTTCTGGATTTTTGTTGTTGTAATTCTGTCTCTCACTGTTCAAATAATTCTACCATTAAAATTATAGACTGATCATGTCTTTGTCAGTGGGCAAACGTACAAAATCAGCCGGGGATCAAATACTTTTTTTCCCTCACTGTAACACAGATGGACCTAGAAGATGAGAATGACTGACTGGGGCCATGTGCAGGGATAATCGCTTCCATTTTGTCGCTGACTTCTCATATTGCTGCCGCTAATGTCCCAGTGGCTTTGGAAGTCATATTTTAAGTAATCTAATTTCTGTTCCTGTAACTCCCCTGAATGCCTCTGTCAATCCAACAGCTATTGTCCAATGCATCCATGAACCAGAGTTTTACTCTTAGAACTGAAGGCGGTGAGCCCTAGTAGGAAGCTCAGCTCAAACATAAATATCACTGTCATGGCTACACCACCGGTCAAAAGGTTTAGACACACCTACTCATTCAAGGGGTTTTTCTTTATTTGTACTATCTTCTACAATGTAGAATAATAGTGAAGACATCAAAAACTATGAAAAAACACATATGGAATCATGTAGTAACCCCAAAAAGTGTTAAACAAATCAAAATATATGGGGGTGGGGGGGGGGGGGGGAATAGTTATGCACGCTCAAGTTTTCTGTTTTTTTTTTGTCTTATTTTTTGTTTGTTTCACAATAAAAAAAAAATTGCATCTTCAAAGTGGTAGACATGTTGTGTAAATCAAATGATACAAACCTCCAAAAAAAATCTATTTTAATTCCAGGTTGTAAGGCAACAAAATAGGAAAAATGCCCAAGGGGGGTGAATACTTTCGCAAGCCACTGTATAGCCTAAGAAACAAGGTTCATGAACTTGCCAGTAACAGATAACATCCATATACTGACTATCTCTGAAACTCACTTAGACAATACCTTTGATGATACAGTGGTAGCAATACATGGTTATAACATCTACAGAAAATACATAAATGCTTATGGAGGAGATGTTGCTGTTTATATTCAGAACCACAATCCTGTAAAGCTTAGAGAGGATCTCATGTTAAATACTGTTGAAGTTATATGGCTACAGGTTCATCTGCCTCACCTAAAGCCCATTCTGGTGGGAAGCTGCTATAGACCACCAAGTGCTAACAGTCAGTATCTGGATAACATGTGTGAAATGCTTGATAATGCATGTGATATCAACAGAGAGGTATATTTTCTGGGTGACTGGCTTTCATCAAGCTGCCCACTCAAGAAAAAGCTTCAAACTGTAACCAGTGCTTGCAACCTGGTTCAGGTTATCAGTCAATCTACCAGGGTAGTTCCAAACGGCACAGGAATGAAATCATCAACATGTATTGATCACATCTTTACTAATGCTGCAGAAATCTGCTCTAAAGCAGTATCCAGATCCATCGGATGTATTGATCACAATATAGTAGCCATATCTAGGAAACCCAAAGGTCCAAAGACTGGGCCTAATATAGTGTATAAGAGGTCATACAATAAGTGCTGTAGTGATTCCTACAGTATGTTGCAGACGCTGCACTTGACACATTTAATGAAATTGCTTATTCCAGTTACTAATAAGCATGCACCCATTAAGAAAATGACTGTAAAAAAAATGGTTAAATGTGAGAGGGATAGGTATGTTGGAAGTACTCAGCTGTCTGTTTAAACTCCTAGCACACAGCTCAGACGCCCATGCATACCCCCACAAGACGTGCCACAAGGGGTCTATTCACAGTCCAGAACAGACTCCGGGAAATGCGCAGTACTACATAGAGCCATGACTACATAGAACTCTATTCCACATCATGTGTAATGATGTCATGTCATAGTATTGTGAGGACAGAGGAAGAGTTAAGAGATGAGTGGTTTGGGGCCATGAAGTCTACATTCATTATGTCAAGGTAGATTAGTGATGTTTAGGATAGCATGAGTGATGTTTAGGATAGTGACTTGGGGTAAAGAGTGATGAACATCAAAGACAGGGAGTGCCCATGGAGACTTACCAGATGTATGCCAGGAAGAGGGTAATAAAGGGTATATAAGGTAGAGTGTCGTCTTTGTTCAAGAGTTCAACTGACGAAGGGCAAAGCCATGTCCGTTGATTAGATGAACACACGAGCTCGTGATTCAATAAATACTTGATAGGAAATCTCCACAAAGTGTCTAAGTATATCCTTGCATCCTTGATTCTTTGATACCTGAGAAACTCATCATAACATCATGTAACTCATGCAAGCAGTAAAATTAGATTTAAAAAACAGATAAAACTACACCTGGTGATGTAGTGGTGATGTACTGGTGATGTACTATTGATGTACTGGTGATGTACTGGTGATGTACTATTGATGTACTGGTGATGTAGTGGTGATGTAGTGGTGATGTACTATTGATGTACTGGTGATGTACTATTGATGTACTGGTGATGTAGTGGTGATGTAATGGTGATGTAGTGGTGATGTACTGGTGTTGTACTGGTGATGTACTGGTGATGTACTATTGATGAACTGGTGATGTACTATTGATGTACTGGTGATGTAGTGGTGATGTACTATTGATGTACTGGTGATGTACTATTGATGTACTGGTGATGTAGTGGTGATGTAGTGGTGGTGTAGTGGTGATGTAGTGGTGATGTAGTGGTGATGTAATGGTGATGTACTGGTGATGTAGTGGTGATGTACTATTGATGTACTGGTGATGTAGTGGTGATGTAGTGGTGATGTAGTGGTGATGTAGTGGTGATGTGGTGGTGATGTAGTGGTGATGTAATGGTGATGTACTGGTGATGTAGTGGTGATGTACTATTGATGTACTGGTGATGTACTATTGATGTACTGGTGATGTAGTGGTGGTGGTATGGTGATGAATGGTGATGTACTGGTGATGTTAGTGGTGTTTTGTATGGTGATGTAGTGGTGATGTAGTGGTGA